TACCACTTTTATTTTTATGTGGTTGCATTTTTATGCTCCATACCACTTATATATAGGGATATAAGTAACAAGTAGTTGCATTTGCTTCCATACTTACTTGGTTTTAAAATTGGATTTTTCTTTAAAACCTTCATCCTCTTATTGATTTAAAACATACATGTAAGATGGCTTCAGTGTCCTTTTTCTCTTTATTCAAGTTTTGGATTCAAATGCTTCTAAACCAAATTGGTTAAGTTCAGGGAAATATGTTAAAAATCAATTTTTGGTTTAAAAATAATTACTTTGGACAATATTATTTAAATTTTATTCGAAAAGTTCAACTAAGATAGACATAAATTTCATGCTAATATTTATTCCATACTTATTTTATGAAATTGAAATTATACTTTGGAAAAACGTCCACCCTACTGAATTGAGCCACATTGTCCTCAATGAGCAAAATTCACCCAAACTTATGGTAGTGCAAATAATAAGGAAGTTCAGAAAGTGTACCATCGTTGGCAAGAGAGATGCACTGGGAGAGTGTAGATTTCCTCCAAGCTTATGAGGTGAGAGACATTAATTAATTAAACCAGATGCTTGGAAATGAACAAACAAAGATTAAAAAAAATAGATTCCAAAGAAGTAAACTGGAATTAAGGAAAAAATCCAAAATGTGCATAACAAACCCAATGCCAAAAAAGGTGTGTAATTAGAAACAATAAGGAGAATTAAAACAAAAGAAGTGGCAAAAGAATCAGGCCTCTGGTGGGTGGTAGGGAGGAGGAGGGCTCTGAAGCAACTGGATCACAGTCTTGAAGCTGAGTGGAGAGGCCCTGGTTTAGTGAGCTCTGCAAAGTGTCCAACGAGAGTCAAATTGCTTGCCCCTGTGTGGGGATTCTTTCAAGCAGACTGGAAGCGATCATTAAATCATGGACTCCATGCCGGTAATCGAGTTTGTCGAACATTGCCGGTAAGTCGAGTATCAAACATGTCCATGCGAGAAAACATACGTGTGAACAGCTCATCATTTGATAAAGGGGAAGTGCCCTGGTATGAAGGTCCAGCTCCAGATGTACCTGCACCAGAAGTAAAACCAGGGAAAGGAGGTGGCTGATCCTCCTCAACGTCAGCAGCTGCAGGTATGTCCTCGTCAGTGGTTTCTGCTGGGGCACCTATTACTCTATATGTATCGCCAAATTTTTCCACAATCTTCAAGTGGATCATCATGTCAATGTCTAATCTAGTCCCTCTACCACCGCCTAAGCTATCATAAATAGGTCTAGTCGGGTTCCATATCCGTAAATAGGTAGCAATGCGTGTGACAAAACTACCCATAACGATAGCCCCCTTGTCCGCTCGTGCCACTCGACCCCATTTTTGTCCTAGCCAATAACCCACATTTAACATCACTCCATTTTGAATGGCCCAGAGAAAATAAAGCTCACTTCGCCCTACAACTCCTTCACTCTCATTTCGTCCAAAAATCGTATGAACTAAAAATTTATGGATATATAAAAGCGGGTCTTTTTTTTTTAATTTTGATGCTTTGGAGGATCTAGCACTATAAACACTTCCGTCCGCTATCTCACCCCACCTATGACGATCCAAAAAATCATTCGGGATTTGGGTGACTGCATTTTCAGTAGGAAAACCGAAAATGTGACTAACCTCATTTATGGATAATTCAAAATTTCTTCCTAGGAGTCTAAATGTGACTTTATTCCTAAAACTGTCAGCTGGAAATTTAATTGATGCAGAAAAGGAGCTTAAAAATTCTAATGTGAGGGGAGGATACACCGGGTCTTTCATTTGAATAAAGGCACCCCACCAGGCAACTCCCACCCTACACGGTTCAACGGTTCAATCACAGCATCTTTAAGCCCCACAATGACAAAGCATGATCAATCAATAAATTTATCTTGGTAACGAATGGGGCGTAGTAGAAGTTTATTGTTACCTTCTAACTGGTCTCTAACTGGTCGCTGGAACCCATATCAAATGGAGGCAGTGGTGTAGTGTCCGAAGAAGGCGTGGAAGATCTTGTGGTGGAGCCTCGTCTAGCCGCTACTGATGAAGAAGAACGGTTGCGCTTGTACCTAGGAGGCATGATGTGAAAAATTATTGAAGAAAATCAGATATAAGTGCAAGAAGATGAAGGAAAACGAGAGAAAAGTGAGAGAAAATGAGAGAAAGAGGCTGTGACGGCTAGGGCGTGTTGAGTTGAATGATACAGCGCTAGGGCGTGTCATTTAAATAAGGTAGCGCGCACGGGCGTGCAAAGTGACACGGTCCAGGGCGTGCACTCTCCTGCCTGGAAAGTCTGGGTGATAGGCGCACGGCCGTGCGTGGTGACACTGGTTGCCGGTGGTGCACCTCTCTGGAGTCCTGCAGGGCACTTATCCTTACCTGCAACGGTGGTGTGGTTCTGCACGCCTTGTGGGCACATGGAAGGCACGGGCGTGCAACTACATGCACGGTCCAGGGGTGTTTTCTCTCTTATTTTTTTTTTTTTTTTATGATAATTGTAAAAAAAGCAATTAAAGTGTATTAACAAACTTATAAAACAAAAAAAACAAAATAATCAAAATGAAAATGGGTTGTCTCCCATAAGCACTTTTGTTTAACGTCGTTAAGTTCGACGTACCGAACCTGATTCAAACTTACTCAAGATGAATAGCGGTTTTAACAGGATCAAAATTTCCACCTTGGTAAACCTTTAATCGGTGAGCATTAACTTTGAAACTGCGGTCACTGTCCATAATCTCTACTGCTCCATGCGGGAAAATTTCTTTAATCGTGAAGGGGCCAGACCACCTTGAGCGCAGTTTTCCTGGAAAAAGGCGGAGTCTAGAGTTATAGAGTAATACCTGCTGGCCTACCCTTAGATTCCGCAGAATAATACGCTTATCATGCCACTGTTTTGGTGCGTTCTTTGTGCGTTCTTTATAGACTTTGGCATTTTCATAAGCATGAAGCCTCATTTCATCCATCATATTCAATTGAAGCAACCTCTTTTGACCAGCTTCCTTACTGTCAAAATTAAGAAATTTGATTGCCCAATATGCTTTATGCTCCATCTCGACAGGGAGGTGACAAGCCTTCTCGTACACCATTCGATATGGTGACATGCCAATTGGTGTCTTGAAAGCAGTTCTATAGGGCCAAAGAGCATCATCGAGCTTCTTGGACCAGTCCTTCCTTGATTGGCCAATAGTTGTCTCCAAAATCTTCTTAATTTCCCAGTTCGTGACTTCTACTTGTCCGCTTAGAAAGGTGATATGGAAGTACGCCTACACGATTTGGTGTAACGCCATATCTTGGAAAGTAGTGAAGTCAGGGTATTTGTTACAGAAATGCTTACCCCATCGGTGATTATTGCTCGGTGATTACTGCTCTTGGAGTACCATGCCGTGTGAAAATATATTTCTTGATGAAGCTCATCACACTTTTGGCATCATTATTGGGAAGGGCAACAGCTTCAGCCCATTTTGATACATAATCTACCGCCACTAGGATATATTGGTTTGAGTATGACGATGGAAACGGTCCCATGAAGTCTAGACCCCAAACGTCGAAGATTTCAACTTCAAGAATGCCATGCAAAGGCATCTCATGTCGTTTTGAAATGTTACCTAACCTTTGACATCGATCACAAAGTCGAACATAGTTAAAAGAATCTCTAAATAGATTAGGCCAATACAAACCGCTTTCCAATATACGTGCTGCTGTCTTGTTTGCTCCAAAATGTCCTCCACATTCCATCGAATGACAGAATGAATTTAAGGGACACTTTCCATTTCACTTTCGGGTAGTACACCGCCTGATGTGATCACTACAATATTTGAACAAAAATGGCTTCCTCCCAATAGGTAGTATTTTGATGTATCATGGAAAAATCTTTTCTTTTTGTTTTGATAGAAAAAATTGGGCCGCAGTGAGTAATTTTTGCCACACAAGATAGTGGACTATATCAGCATACCAGGGGGTTTGAGTCATTTAGCAGAAGATATGCTCATGGGAAAACTCTCGTTGATTGCTAGCTCGGTTTGTATCCTCTTCTCCTAATTCTAACCTGGAAAGAGTCATCAGCCACCAGATTTCTCGGCTTCCCTTTTGTTCGAATTTCCAGATCAAAATTCCTGCAATAGGAGAACCCACGAATCGTCTCGTTTTGCATCTTTCTTTTTCTATCAAATATTTTGTGGCGGATATGTGTGGCTTCTGTGTAAACTATTGTTTGGTCGGTCCCAATTAAATATTGGCTCTAATTTATCAAAGCAAAAACAATAGCTAACAATTCTTTTTCAGTAGTTGCATAATTCAATTGTGTGTCATTCAATGTGCGTAACTAGCATAATAAAATGACATTTGCAACTGCTTGTCTCTTTCGTTGTCCGAAGAACAGCTCCAACAGCCATGATCACTAGCTATCACACATAAGGTTCAATGGGAGAGGTCCAATCTGTTTTGTGGATGATAGTGCTGAGATTACTCCTTTTTAAGCGTTTAAAAGCATCTAAACATTCCTTTGTCAAAAAAAAAAAATTAATTTTTTTTTTTTGGAAGGGAGAGTCCAATCTGGTGTGGTGATGATAGGTGCTGAGATTAACTCCTTCTTTAATCTGTTAAAAGCATCTAAACATTCTTTGTCAAAATTGAAAGGGACATTATAGATTTTGTTCCTTAGATGCCATTTTTATTTCTTGGTGTTTTTATCCGAGGAAGAAGAAGGGTTGTTATTCGAGGAGGAAGAAGGCAGAAACTAGGTTATACTAGTTATTTTTATTCTCTAGGCTTCTCTCTTTGAATTATGTAATTTATATTTTTTTATTATTATTTTTTTATGTCAAATAATCCATTTTATTGGGGTAAAAAAAATTAGAGTAGTTGGTTTATGACAATTACTAGTACGTCAAAGCTTTTTGGCCAACTTATAGCAGAGTACAACTCATGTTGGCAATGATAGCAAAATGAAGGATATAATATATAGAAAATAAAAAAAGTATAAAGTCATGGCGGATCATTCGCAAATTATAGAGGGCCACAGGGATTTTTAGCTAAAATATAGAGGGCCGAATTATGCATTAGTACATTGTTTTTCTCTCTCCTACCTTCCCTCTTTGTCCTTCCCACACAAAGGAACGTCATATCTCTCCTGCACGTGTGTTGAAGATTATGTTATATCTAATTAACGATGTATCTCGCAGTCGTCACTCTCCAAGACTCTCCATCTCCTCTCCTCTTATTGTCAACATAGCTATAGATTGCGCAGAAAATAATCAAACCCGTGCTGCAGAATCTCTGCTTCAAACGAGGGGAGATGTTAGGATTTTTTGCCAAGTGAGAAAAATGGAAGAAGACAAAAATCATCTTGTTTGATGGAGAGCTATTTGAATGAAAACTTTGGCGAAGTTAAGCCTAAAAACTCATCGAAGGAACCGTTGCAGAGATGGAGAAAGCTTTACTGGTCAGTGAAGAATCGAAAACAGAGGTTTCGTTTCGCTGCTAATCTCTCCAAATACTTTGAGGCTGAAGCCATCCATCGCTCCAATCATGTATTCCTCTCTCTATATTCTATTGTTTGCTTGTAGTGAAAATCTAAGCAAGGAAAACTTAAATTTGAGTGAAAAAGAAAATAAAAAAATGAAATAACGTCTTCTTGTGATTCAAAGTTTCCTTTTCAGATCTCCGTGATAGACTTAAGTCCCCAGTAAAAAAAAAAATATCTGTAACAAAACTAGATCACAATCTTTTCTACATCTATAACAGCTTTTGGGGCAAAAATAACCAATTATAGCTTCAACTATTAGAGAGGATGAAGCTTTTGCTGATGGGCAAATTGTTACCAACTCAGATTTGAAGTATCTGTATTACATTGACTTTATAAGGTATAAGTAGCAATGGCAGTGGCGATGGTGATGCATTTGCTGTGCCGATGGTGGTGATTGTAAAGGGAGCTATCTTCAGCGAAAATTGAAGCATGAGTTAAGTTGTGGACAGGAGAGAGGAAAGGAAAATAATTGTGATGTGGCATTTTTTAAAATATTTATTTATTGACAAATTAAATTATTGTTAGTTTTTTACTAGCTAATGGCCGGGAAACTGGCAAAAAGATTTTTTTTATTACTCCAATAAAAGTCTTGTATTGTTAAGTAATAAATTAAAGTGTAGGGACAATTAAGAAATATTTGCTACAATTTAAGAATTATCAGCAAAAATAAGTTGTCTTTTGCATTCATGAGAATACCTCGATAAATAGAATCAACATAAACACGTGGACATGTGAATTTGTTTGATCATGTGAATGTGTTGTTGTTGTCACATTTGCTTGTGGTTTTGATTTATGAGAAATGTCCATCAATAAGTAGATATTGTGAGGCATCATTGAGTTGGCGCTCACCCTACCACTTAATTTTTTCAGGTTTCAGTTAGATGATTCCAACTTAAAGTCCAACGTCTTCTTTCTTCGTTGTGGGTTTCGTATTTAGTGAATTCAGATTCTCTTATTATCTGTTAAATAATTTAGAAATTTCATAATCACCAACAACTTAACTAATATGTGATGTGTATGATGTTATAGTAGAGAATAGTTGAGCCTTATCCAGTATGATATTGTTACTGTTAATATCTTGAGAGCCTTGATTATGATATGATAAATGTTGCATGATGTATTATGACATTAGAAATGATGTTTGATCCACAAACAATAATGGGCTTAGAGGGTCTACAATTGTTATATGATAATATTGATAATTGCATATGGACCTTAGGCCCAAGATGGATATTCATTACAATCTAAGCTAAATAAAGGTTTACTATGGCCTAAGAAACTTTTAAACCCATCCGAGTTCTAGTTTTGGACCGTTCAAAGTGATGGGTCGATAAAAAAATTATTGATTAAATAGTTTAATTAATAAAATAATCTCAATTATAAAAATATCTTATAATTTAACAAAGAAATAAAATTAAAATTACAAAAACCCAAATTGAAAACAAAGAACAATCTAAAATTGAGAAAAAAAGTAAGCAATATTTTGATTTAAAAAAAAATAACACTAACAAAGACTATAAGCACAATTCGCAAGTTTTAGATTTTTTTTTTAAATCAAAACTAAAATAATGGGTAATATTATAATTTTATCATGAATAATGCAATTTTCTCTCAAAAACTCCTAATTTTCTTTCCATTTCGTAGAGAATGGTACATCGCGAAGGTACATGAATTTCGGCATAATTTTTTCTTCCTGCTCAATTTTACTTCATGCTTCTAAATAAAGAAAAATCACTTTTCGAAATTATTTTCTACCCATTTTTTCTGTCCTTTAGAAAAATTCTTGTATTGAAACGCAATATTAGTACCCACCTAAAATTTCTGTCCTATACATTCTCTCAAAAAAAAAAAAAAAAAAGAAAAACGCAATATAGTACCCACCTTAAAATTTCTGTTCCGTATACATGCTCTCAAAAAAAAAAAAAAAAAAAAAAAATGTTCCTAAACGAATAAATGTTCAATTTATCGTAGGCGTTATTTTTACTGAATATTAATAATCAAAAATTAACTTTTAAACTATTTTAACTAAAAATAATAAAATTTTAAGTTTTTACTTTAATAATAAAAAAATACTTAAAATAAGAAATTAAAAAGAAAAACAAAAAAACTTTTTTTCATCTTTTCTCTAGATAACATGTTTACTTTCTATCTTCAACAAATTTATTTTTATATTTTTGAATTTTCAAATATTTTTATTATTTTAAAAATCTTATAACATTAAAAAATTATATTAATTCAAAATTAAGCTTAAACTGAAAAACTCAAATCAAATCAATTATATTTTCTCATATAACCATTCAATTTATTTTGATTTAATTAGATTTGAATGAGATATAAGGAATTAATTGAAATTAGTTTTGAACCAAGTTAAATAGCTAATGAAAATTTGATGGTTTGGATTAAAAAAAAAAAAAAAAAAAAAAAAAAATCATCTTAGTAAAAAAAAAAAAAAAAAAAAAAAAGTCATCTAGTGTTTGACTTTTGAGTTTGGAAAGTTCTTTCCTAGCCTAATCTAGAGACTTCCTTCGTATTGACTCGACTTCATTTGATAAGAAAAGCAAAACAAAAATTCTATCAAAATCCAAATAAAACAAGAAGCTTCAAGACTCCCCTACACCCATTTCTATCTTCTATAAATACTGCAACCCAGAAGCAAATCGACCAAACAAATCCTAAGTTACCATTGAAGATTTCTTACTATAGCAAGCTACCCATCGATAATGTCCCTTCTTCACTCTTTTTTGAACAAAACAAGCTTATTTGATCCATTTCAAGTGCTGTTTAATCCAATTTCGGACACCCAAATGGACTGGAAGGAAACTAAGGATGCCCATATATTCGAAATGGACCTTCCAGGCATTACAAAGGAGGATGTGAAGCTTGAAGTTGAAGAAGGATCAGTCCTTCGAGTTAGTGCAGAGAGAAAAGAAGAAGCCGAAGAGAAAGATGAAAAGTGGCACTGCAAGGAGAGAATGGCTGGTGGTGGGTTTTACAGGCAGTTTCGATTGCCTGAACATGTTAAAGTTGATGAGATTAAGGCATCAATGCGTGATGGGGTACTTGTAATCACTGTGCCTAAAGATGACCACAAGAAGATGAAGAAGCCTAAACAAAAGACCGTGGAAATTTCTGGGGACGACGAGCCCCATACTCCCAAAGGAATTGGCCGTTTTGTTTGTTGCAAATCGTAATTTGAACTTGTGTTAACACCCTATAATTGTAGGGATACCCTACCTTAAGGTTGTTTTCGCTCATATTGGTGGATGGATTTGTTTTGTGAAAATTTGGGCTTGCGTGGCAGTTTCGTTTCTGTGATTTGTTTGGCTTGTACAGTACATTTTGTGGGGTTGAATATATTACAAATCTTATTTATTATTGTAACTTCAAAACTTTCAGATTTTGTTTACCTTTGTATGAACCAATTACAACGTTACAACTTGTTTTATATAGATCAATTCTAATGAATCTTATGCCATGTATTTCACATGTTTTTTGGCTTTTAACGTATTTCTTCTCTCTTTTGTGAAAATACACTGCGCCTTATGGAAGTTGTGTAAGAGACGATAAATATTGATGGTAAAATTTAGATTATATTTGGTATGTTGTAATCAACTATATAATGAAATAAAAATTATATTATATAATTAATTATATTATTTGGTTAGATTTTTTTCTATATTGATCATATTTAGATTACATGTATGAGCTTCATTTTTTCAATTAAATGTAATATCCATTGCAATTCTATCACCACCATCCCTGCACCACCATTATCACTACCATTCCACCACCACTATTGCTCCACCACCATCACCACCTCAACCATTTTACCACCACCACCTCAACCACTCTACCACCATTATTGCTCTACCACCACCACCACCACCTCTACCACCACAGCTCCATCACTACCTGAACCACCACCACTACCACAGCTACTTCACCATCACCACCACCACCGCCACACATATAATAAAAATCGTATTCAGTATTTAATATGCAACACCAAATAAAAATTGTATTTTATTATTTTATTTAATTATAGGAATGAGAAGAATAAAATGAAAAATGAAAAATTTAAAAAGAATCAAAAAATACATTTAATATGCCTCATTTAATTTTTACAACATAAAAATATATGACCAAAATTATATTTCTAAATAACTTTAACTTTTATTTTGTTATATTGCAATTTTTTTTTCTATTACTTTTTTTATTTTTTTTATTCAAATAATAAATAAATAAAAATCTAAATGATCTTTAATAATTAAATAGTGAATAATTTTTGGTTTCAAATATTTCTTTTAATTTGTATTTAATAATGATGTGTAATAAATGGGTTTTAATTTAGCAAAATATGCTCTTATTTAGAATCTTATTTTTGTTGATATTTTTGCTGTTAAATTTTTTGGTTTCAAATATTTCTTTTAATTTTTATTAATAATGATGTGTTATTAAATGGTTAATTTAGCATTAATATTTGCTCTTTATTTGAATCTTATTTGTTGATATTTTTGCTTTTGAAAATGAGAGCTTTTCACTTGGTGTTTCAATATTTTTCTTAGATATGTCTAAATTTCATTAGGCAATAGTTTCAGAGCTAATTCTTGAAGTTTGGAGATGTGTTGGCTGTTAGGGCTAAAATCAAGTAATTCCCTTAAAAAGCTCTTGAAGTTTCACAAATTTAGCTTAGGGAGGCTATGTGAGATGCATCGACACAGAATCAGGAATCCCTTAAAAATTGAAAAATTAAGTTTGTGCAAAGCTAAGGATGAGACGCCGTCTAGAGCTGACGGGATTAAGGTGTTTGCCAGCTAATTAGTGAATTAGAAGATACTTAGATTCAAATTACTTTTAGTTTTGTAATATATTGAGATTTATTTCCTAGTTTAAGTTTGTTCCCTCTCTAAAAATAAACCTTAAGTCTTAGTGACTAGGACATCTTTTCTCTTTAAAACGGCAGCGTCTTAGGATTATTATTCTTTTGTTTTCTTCTATGGCATGCGTGGCTAAGTTTTCTGTTCAGTGAGTTGAATTCAAAGTAAGAATTCCTCAATATTGTTGAGATCTTAATGCAATCTTAATGCAATATTTTCTTCTTTAATTTCAATTAGTCTTTATGTGTTTTTTGAATTTAATGAGAAACTCCATCTTTATTGTTTTCTTATTATTTGTTCAATAGGGTCGGTTGTTCAATTTAATTGGAATGCATATAACTAATCAGTAAGATTAAATCTGTAATTGTTTAGTTGAGTTGATTCAAATAGCAAATAATATAATTTAATTGTAATCAGGCTTTTGGATTATATTATAAAAATTCACAATCTAATTTAAATAAACCTTGCTTGTAGAGTTTGTTAATTAGGGCAAAATCTTTCTAAATTTTTATTGCTATTAGCAAATTAAATTCTATCACTTGTTTAGGGTTATTTGCTAGTTAGGGATTATTCATAGCGCTTGTCTTATTTAATATAATAATATGAAAAGATTTTTCAACGACGCTTGTTCAAAGATTATAACTTGTCGACTCTTCGAATTATCGAATTATCTGAGTGTCAATGATCAATCAAGAGTATTTCATACTAAGAATTGCCTGTGACTAAATTTCAAGGATTAATTTCTACCCTATTGGCGGTTACATGAGAGAGGATGAATTTTAGAGATTTTTAAGAGAACGGTTTCTAACCAAATTCTAATTTTTCCCCCTTTTTCAATAATCAAAACACATCCGCACTTTTTAATAAAAAAAGAACGTGGCCGTTTTTAAAACTTAACTGTGCATAACATATATTCATTCTTGATGTCAATGGTTGTGGCCAAAATTACAATGATAAAAGTAGACATATATTCATGGCCAAAATTACAATGATAAAAGTAGACATATATTCATAAACATACAAATAGGGGCTAACTCCATATTTATGTTGCTATTATTTTGACTTTTAATATTAGAACTTTAATTTTGTGACCAAATTTATAAAAATGACCAGTGTTACTATAAAACGAAATGAAAAAGTGAGTTGATAACTTGTCCCTTAAAACATGCATACATTAAATGTTGAGAATATTTGTCTCTGCTACTTTTCTTGATTGTTGAGCTTCAATCTTAAAACAAATGCATACACTCCAATCGCATTCTAGTCCTTTTAACTTGGTTTGCATCCCAAAGTTACTATTTAGAGTAAAATTCTCTATATATAAAATATATCCAAAAAGGAAAATTTCTCTAAATAAAGAGGAGAATATTTTAAATTTTTTATAATTAATTACATCTACTCTTTAACATAGATGTTATGTGACTTTATGTCACATTCTATTCCACTTGGTTAATTAATGGGGATGATTGTTAGACTATTTAATAATCTATATGTGGCCCATGTGATTAAAGGGCTGGTTCTAATTAAGGTAGCCCGAGATGATGGTTATTGGGCATAATGGATGAGGACCAGTTATGGTTTTAATTCCCTTCCTCTGCCTTATAAAAGAAAAAGAAAATCAACAGCTTAGGTTAAGAAAAGAAAAAAGAGAGTGTGACGACTACCTCAAACACATTCGGTGATAGGTTGTTTGAGAGAGCATGAAAAGAAAACTTTCATGCTTTTAATAATTCTCTGACCATTAAGAGAGCACTTACGGACAAAAGGCCAGAGTGAAGAAACATAGATCTGCTGTTACGGTGAGAATCGAATTGCCACAATGAGGTAAGGTGAGAATCGAATTGCCACAATGAGGTAATCCATAACATAGATCTGCTGTTATGGATCAAGGTCTGCTTCCGCTTATTGTGTATTCTTATTGAACAAATTCTATGAACTATAAGATCTAGGCTATATTAAAGTTTATTCAACATTTGGTATCAGAGCCTAATTCCTGTTCTAGATTTGTTTGATAGTGTTTTATTGGGCTTAATTAATGGAAATTAATTTTGTATTGTGAAGTTGATTTATCTGGTATAAATGAAGCCAAAATTATAGAAATTGAAAACTTTTTGTTTTCTTTATGCTTTATTTTTGTTTTCTTTATGCTTTATAAATTATTCTGCTTATATTTAAAGAAAGGAAGGTTATGACATCTTATTGTGTTATTTCGTTAAAGTTTTGAGATCTTAATTCAATCTCATAAAAGTGTTGCATATATCAATGTTTAATAAATGGAAAACTTGTTAGTCACCAAAGTGGCCTTGTTTGGATTAATTTAGACATTGATTATGTAGCTTTCAATTGTTCATGTTTGTGTGATGTCGTTAAATAACTTGAAAGTTAAAATTAAACAATTGAGATCATTGATTATGACTTGTTAGGTTACCCAAAGGTAGACCATTAATTATAATCAATAGCATTAAAGAGACTTATCATTGTACTAATTAAGATGAATGTATATCCAAAAATAACATGCATATTGTATGGAGCATTATTGAAAAGTTGAAAGGAATAAAAAAAAACGTAACTGACTTCCAGAGAGAAGCACGGGGCGTGCTGCAATGAGCACAGGCGTGTCCTCAATTCCAATGAGAAGCACGGGGCGTGCTACAATGAGCACAGGCATGCGCTGACTTCCAGAGTAAAGCACGGGGCGTGCCGTAGTGAAGCACGAGCGTGCTTCTCTCTGACTTGCGTAAAGGATCACAAGTTGCTCCACCTCAATGAAAGTCTGTTAAAGTATTTTTTTCTTCTTGGCATCATTATTGATTAAAGGTATGCATTTAAATATTACCCAAAGGTAATTTTAAATGCATAATTTAAGATTGTTAGGTTATTTGTTTGAATTCCTTTATGTTTACTCAAAGTATTAATCGTAAGAGTATTATAATGTTGCGCAAGCTTCTTTTAACATGTTTGGCTATGGGCACTGGGTGATTAGTTCAATCGGAATTGGAACTAGTGCTGATTGGGTCCGAAAAAAAAATCCATTATCAGTTAGGAGGAGTTTTGGACTTGGATCTGGCATTAGTATCTGAAAAGCCAGCAGCCATTACAGAGACCAGTATTGAAGCTGACAAGTCCCATTATGAGGCTTGGGAGCTATCTAACATGCTAAGTTTGAACTTAATGAGGATGACAATGGCAAAAAATGTTAAGCCATCAATGCCCAGAACAGACAATGCTAGAGAGTACATGCTGAAATTAAAGAATACTTCCAATCGGACATAGTTGACAAGTCCATCGTAGGATCCTTGATGAGTGAGCTAATGACCAAGAAGTTTGATTGGTCACAATCCATTCATGATCATGTGATTTGATTGGTCACAATCCATTCATGATCATGTGACTGGCATGTAGAATTTGGCAGCCACACTGAAATCAATGGGAATGGATGTGAGTGAATCTTTTTTAGTTCAATTTATTATTAAATCACTTCCTCTTGAGTTTGGTCAGTTCCAGGTGAATTACAACACCCTTAAGGAAAAATGAAACATTTAGGAAATCAAGCCATGTTGATACAAGAGGAAGGGAGATTAAAGAAATTGAAGGCACACTCCATCAATCTCACTTTTCATAATGGAGCTAGTAGCAGCAACAACAAATCAGGGAAGAAAGGCAAGAAGGCAAGAAAAAGGGACAATTGCCCCATTATTGAGGTTAATGAGGCTAAAATCTTTAAAAATCTGTAAGGAGTTGAAGTGCTACTTCTGTAGAAAGAATGATCACTTCAAGAAGGACTATCCTAAAAGGAAGATTTGGTTTGAAAAGAAAGGTATACTTTATGTTTCAGTATGTTTTGAATTAAATTTTATTGAAGTGCATAATAATATCTGGTGGTTAGATCTGGTGCAACTATTCATGTGTCTCATGTTATACAGGAATTCCTTTCGATCCAACCCATAAACGAAATTGAAAAGTTCCTATACATGAGAAACATAATGAAGGCACGAATAGAAGGAATTGAGACTTATAGATTGGTCCTGGACACTGGTTATTATCTGGATCTTGAAAAGTGTCTCTATGTGTATCTCTATGTTCCTGAATGTGCTAGAAATTTAGTTTCTGTAGGGAGGTTAGATAATGTTGGTTTCAGTTTTAAGATTTGTTTTGTAATGGTGTTTCTTCATTATACAAACATAAGTACTATTTATTGGTTCTGGTACTTTTGATGATGGTTTGTATCGTTTTACATTCTTAAGATGCTGAATTTAGAATCCCTGTTTACATGTTGAACACAATATAGGTAATAAGCATTTAGTGCACGATAATAAAATGTTTGCTTTCTCTGTGGCATCAATGGTTAGGTTCACATATCCCAAAGAAAGGATTTTAGGGTTAGTGAATGGTGAAATCTTGCCTCAATTGGATTTCTATTGACTGAGATTGTGTGTATAGATTGCATTAAGGTAAAGCAAAAACTAGCACACATAAAAGCACACATTAAAGAATCCAGCCACAAGAAACAGTGAATTGCTTAAACTTATACACATTGATTTATGTGGTCCTTTTGATGTTCCCTCTTGGGGTGGTGAAAAATATTTTATTACCTTTATCGATGATTTCTCATGGCACGATTATGTGTATTTGCTGCATGAAAAGTCCCAATCAGTGGATATCCTTGAGATATCCATTAATGAAGTAGAGAGGCAGTTAAATAGAAAAGTTAAAGTTGTGAGATCTGATAGAGGTGGTGAATACTATGGTAAATTTAATGAAAATGGACAATGTCCAGGTCCATTTGCAAAGTTCCTTAAAAGTCATGGCATTTATGCTCAATACACAATGTCGGGTACACCTCAACAGAATGGTATAGCTGAAAGGCGGAATCGTACTCTTATGGAAATGGTTAGGAGTATGCTAAATAATTACTCTTATGGAAATGGTTAGGAGTATGCTAAATAATTGTACTGTACCTTTATTATTACGGATGCATGCATTAAAGACTGTTGCATATTTACTTAATAGGGTTCCTAGTAAAGTAGTTCTTAAGACTCCTTATGAACTGTGGACAGAAAGGAAACCTAGTATAAGGCATCTTCATGTTTGGGGCAACAGAAGTAAGGATATATAATCCACATGAAAAGAAGCTTGATGCTAGAACAGTTAGTGGATTTTTCATAGGATATCCTGAAAAGTCAAAAGGGCAGATTTTATTGTCCTAAACCATATTACGAGAATTTGTTTGAGTCTGGTAAATGCTCTATTTATGAAAATGGCCAAATTAGTGGGAGTTAGTGAACACGTAAATGAATGTGCGCAATGAGATTCAGATTGGAAAATCAACTCATTATGGATTTTCCTATGTCCTTCTTCTTCTGTTGTGATTCCCCTTGTTTGTATCATGGTTTAACCAACATAGTTGAACAGCAGACAACATCCGAACCCACAAAATTGACCCATTATAAATATAAGCCAGTAAATAATTGAACAATTACGAATTGATTTCAATGGTTAAATAATGAACAATTCACGAATGATCAAGTGGTTTCATAAGAAATGGCATTACGGAGGTTACAAAGGCAAAGAAGGCCAGCTATTTCTAGTGATTATATGGTTTATTCAATTGAGCATGAATGTGAATTGAGCATTGAAAAGGACTCAGTCTCTTTCCAGAAAGCCATGGAATGTGATAATTCTGAAAAGTGGTTTAATGTCATAAAGGAAGAAATGCAATCAATGAGTGATAATCAAGTCTGGGATTTAGCCGAGTTGCTTGAGGGGTCAAAGCAAGTTGGTTGTAAATGGGTTTTCAAGACCAAATGGGACTCTAAGGGCAACATTGAAAGATATAAGGCCATACTTGTTGCTAAAGGTTAAACTCAAAAGGATGGCATTGATTATAAAGAGACATTTTCTCCAGTTTTCAAAAAAGACTCTTTAAGAGTTATTTTGGCTTTGGTAGCTCATTATGATCTAGAGCTTCACCAAATGGATGTAAAGATAGCATTTCTTAATGGTGACTTAGAAGAGGAAGTGTATATGGACCAACCAGAGGGGTTTGTGGTCACAGGGGTTTGTGGTCACAGGAAAGGAAAATTTGGAGTGTAATTTAAAGAAATTAATATATGGACTGAAGCAAGCTTCCCATCAATGGTATCTTAAGTTCAATAATACCATCACTTCATATGGTTTTATAGAAAATACTGTTGATCAGTGTATTTATATGAAGGTCAGTGTGAGCAAGTTCATCATGTTAGCCTATATGTTGATGACATTCTTCTTGCTGCAAATGATGTTAGATTGTTGCATGATGTAAAGGGTTTTGTAACGCCCCATTTTTTCTGTGTCTGAAATAGTAAGTTACCGGTCTGTGAATAGTATCATCGGTCCGAGAATAAATATTATTTTTGTCCGGAGAAATAGTAAGTTATCGGTCTATGAATAGTGCCATCGGTCTGGGAATAAGTATGATTTTGGTCCGGAAAAATTGCTATCTATGTGTCATATTTTATGTAATATTTTTGGAGTATGTACACATTATTTTTATGGGTAGAAAGTAAGTAATGAATATTTTTGGAGAATTTAGAGAATTAGTAAATAGTGAATTACGGAAATTATTTTTATGGAGTAAATTTATGATGATGTAATATTAATTAAGGAAATTAGAGGAATGATTTTTAAGGATTAAATTAGAGAATTTTTATGGAGATAAATAATATTTTGAAGGAAATAAATTGGAGAATATTTTTAGCCATTGGATGAGATTACCAATGACTTAATCTTAGCCATCCAATTTTGGTGAAAAGACCAAATTACCCTTTAGTCAACTCCATTATTTGAGCAAAATTTTTTCTTCCTCTTCCTATCCATCTAACGTGAACTTCTTTCTTCTTCTGCTCCATTTTAACTTTAGCCTCTCTTTCTCTTCTCTTTGTTTTCTTCACTTCCTAATATAAAAAAATAAGAAAATGAAATGAAATTTCTATTATATAAAAAAAAATTACTCACTAAACTTGTGAATACTCAATTACTTCTAATTCATAATATTTAAATTTTATCATTTATATGTTAAGTTAAGACGGTGCCTCCAGCACCGAATGTGGCATTAAGAAACTAAGGCATTCAAGATCTTAATTAAGCTTGTTAGAGCTTATGTTTACGGAAGTCATAAATCCTCTTACCTTGTTTAAATTTTTTGATTTTGTGAAGTGTTATTAACTATTTTTGTGGAAAATTGGAAATTTTATATGAAATAATTTGATTATTTTGGAATATTTGGTGGTATACATGTGTTCTGGGAGATTTCTAAGCATGCTTATTATGTTGATTTGATGAGGAAAAATTTTCTTCTTCATCCTCCAAGAGTGGCAGAACCTATTTGATGAATAAGGCCTTAATTTTCTTGTTATCTTCTTTGAGGATTTGTGGAATCTTAAGGATGATATTGATCGATATTGAGTATGTTGGTAGAAATTCTACCTTGTATATGATTTAAGTTAAGCCTGAAATTAGGACAAAGGTTGTTTATTGGGTGTGATTAAGGACTGTTTTTCGATTCCCTTTTTGATTTTTCCATTGGTGTTGAGTCCTCATGAAAGTTTAGGTCTACTTCTTTAGCTTTCCAACCCATCCTCTTGTGTCCAATTTGTATATATATAGCTCAACTTATGGCTAAAACACCTAAAAACTAACTCTGTATGACGGGGCCACATGCATTACTTGAATTGGAGTGCCCAATTTTGACCACTATTAATGGTAATATTTATGTTCTGAGTTCTTACATAACAGTTTGTTTCCCTGTGTCTGAGAACTTCTCTGGTTTGGATTTGCGGTTTTGATTTGGAGTGTTTGGATAAGTTAGAATTTGATAAACATTGAAATTTAAGTTCGGCTGAATCAAGGTCTTAGACTGTTGGTCTGTGTTCCTCAGCTTTTTGTTTTGCCATCTTAAAGATCTGATCTGGGCTGTGTCCCTTTCATAACATTCTTGTAGGTTATTTTGTTCTTAGGCTCTGTGAGGGATCTTAAGCCTTACAGTGCACCTAGGCGGAATCCACATACGGTTACGCACGAGGAATCTGTTCAGTACATAGAGGGGTGGTCTCATGAACTGGTTAGCGCGCTTTTGGGTGCATGGATCGTCTCCATGGCTCAAGGGACAAAAGTCGAGGTGACCTCGTACGGAAGGCCCAAAGCGGACAATACTAACCAGGGCGGAAAAGCCATTGGACAATTTGGTTCCAAATATTTTATATTCAAATCATTTAATAAATCTTATTTTCTTCCAAATATATACATCAAAATACTTATAATTACATACTTCAATTATATTTTCAAATAACATAATATCTGGAAAATGTAACAATTATACATGCCATTAATTCTTCATTATATAAATCTCCCAATCGACTACTCCCAAATAGTCACTTCTTGCTTTGATACTATATTCTTTCTAAATCTTCAAGTAGTCAAGTAGCAACAACATCTTCAACCTACGCGTGATAAAAATCGACGCGCTGAGTATAAAACTCAGTGGTGCTCATAACTCACATACTTACCAAGTTGCGATAGCAACTTACTTTAAAACAAATTTCATAAAATTTTTTACAATCATAAATGCATTAAAATTCAACATACATTTCCATTTATAGCAAAACAAATAGCACATATACTAGTAATTTAGTCTTCTTAAATTCATAATGCAAGCTTACTTTAGAATCATACTTAAACATAATTACTTAACATAGACAATTTCTTATCATATGAAATCATACATCTTATAATTATTTAACAATAAATTAATTTAATTCTTTCAAATCATAATTCATTACTTAAAACATACTATACCAATACATTACTCTTTATTTTTAATACTATGTATCGAAATATTTCATTGATATCAGCATGACAGGATATAAGTTCAACCAGATTGTAGCGTCTCGGCTCGGTTCATTCGGGTTAACGGGTGGACCGGGAAGGGATGTTACATGATCTCATTCGTTTAATTGTATTACAGATATTTTCCATGGGGCTCGCATACACTTAGGAGAAAGAGAAGCAGATAGGTTTTCAGAACTGATTCAGAATGGCCTTAGGTTGCCAACAGATTCAGAACATATAGAGCGCGTCCGCCCTAACGGAATAGAAGACACCCACGTGTCTAGCATATGATCATAGCTTCTTATCAGAATGGCATCAAATGCCGAGCATGCTCATCAGACAGAATAAAAATCAAATCACATTCACACACTAAGTATATTAGAACCCAAAATCCTGTTTTAATTCTATACTTCATATCAACCTTATCAAAAAAACTTGTCTTAATTCATAATGTAAGCTTACTTTAGAATTTCATACTTAAACAATATTACGATAACATAGAACCCAATTTCTTTTCATATGAAATCATAACATGTTAAGCTTACTTTAAGAACTTAAGTAAACCTCATTATACTTAAACATAATTTACTTGTAATATAAGGAAAATTATCATTAAATCCCTTTTCTTTTAAAACTTTCTTAAAACTTTCTTAAAGTCATAATGAAATTTATCATAAGAAATTTCTTATCATATAAAATCATATTTTCCTTATTCAAAATTCAAAGCACATACACCTTAGATACCCATTTCTTTGTTCAAACTCTAAACATATAAAAGTTATCAAATAATCATACTTATATCATATATATAAAATAATGAAATAAACCTTAGTACCCTTAGGTGGAATTTGCTTATTTAATGACAAACAAGGGGAGGAATTTGCTTCTCCAATCAAGCATGCTAACATAACTCTTATGCACAAAAGTATCCATTTCAACCCTCATCATGCATTATCTATCTAAACCAATTCCACCCTTTTTCAATTTATATCCCATTAATCACACATATTCCACTACAAACACTTGTCAAACTTATTGTCAAGTAAATGCTAAACCACCACAAATAATCAAGAGAACTTCATCACACAGATTTAATACATACTTTATATCCAAATAAACCTATGATTTTAAGACATAGAAAATTTCCAGCATTAATATAAATCTTGACCCTTTTGCTGTGGTTTAAGGACATAACTTATGTTCTGTGTCTCCCAAATGATGATGTTTGATTCATTAGGAAAAGCTAAGACCAAAATGCTACAAATGTTATGAAGGGACCACAAGCCCAGATCAATCTTTAAGATGGCAAACAAAAGCTTAGGAACAACAGACCAACAGTCATAGACCTGATTCAGCCCGAACGTAATTTTCAATGTTTATTCAAAATTCTACCTTATCCAAAACCACTCAAATCAAACCAATCCAAAACCAGAGAAGTCTCAAGACACAGGGAAAACACACTGTTATGAAGGACCTCAGAACATACATATTACCATTTATTAGTGGTCCCAAAATGGGCACTCATTCAGTAATGCATGTGGCCCGTCATAACAGGTTAGTTTAGGTGTCTTTAGCCCCATAAGTTGAGCTTATATATCCAAATTGGACCACAAGAGGATGGGTTGGAAAGCAGAGAATTAGACCTAAAAACTTTCATGAAGACTTCAAAACACCAATGGGAAAATTCAAAAGGATCGGAAAAACCAAGTCCCTTAAATCACACCCAATATAAAACACTTTGTCCTAATTTCAGGGCTTACTTTAAATACAATATACAAGGTAGGAGAATTCTACCACATTACTCAATACTCATCAAATATCAGTCTTAAAATCACAAATCCTCAAAGGAATAAACAAAGAAAAAACTTAAGGCCTTATTCATCAATAGTTCTTGCCACTCTTGGAGGATTGAAGAAGAAAAATGGTTTTTCCTCAATCAATTCAAACATATAAGCATGGCTTAGGAAATCTCCCAAGAACACATGTATACCACCCAATTCAATAATCAATTATTTCATCATAAAATTTTCCAATTTATATATATATATATATACATTGGATAAAAATCATACAGAAATACTATAAGAATATAAGAGTGTTTATGAACACTAACCTTAAACATAAGCTCTAACAAGCTTAAATAAGACTCTTTTAAGCCTTAGTTTTCCCTTGTCTTTGGTAGGAAATTCTCCACCCTTTGTCCTCCAAATTACTTGAAATTATTCACCAAATATCATTTCTCAAGCTTTAATCTCAAAGATTGATTACTTTTCTGGTTTTGAATTGGCTTGATTTGAGTGTTTGGATAAGTAGGAATTTGATAAACAAAGGATACTTAATTATTTTATATATATGACATAAGTATAGCTTACATTATGAATTTAAGAAGACTCTCAATACATAAAAGTAGTCATGCACAAATCATAAAGTTATGCAACTCATGCAATGTGCCATATGGACTATTCTAACTTAACCATTTATCCATAAGAATTTGGTAGTTCCATCCAAATAGAATTCACTTAGATCAAGTTGAATGGTGTCAAATTGGTGGATTTTGTGAGTATAAGTGAAGAAAACAAAGAGAAGAGAAAGAGAGGCTAAAGTTAAAATGGAGGAGAAGAAGAAAGAAGTTCATGTTAGATAGATACATAGTAATTTTTTCGGACCAAAATAATACCGACTTACTGGACTGGTGGTACTATTCACACACCGGTAAACTACTATTTCAGACACAGAAAAATGGGGCGTTACAGGTGCACACATTTGAGAGAATGGACTATGTGAGAGTACAGCTCGTCGAAGGTTTTGATGACGCCACTGAATAATTTCCACGTGATGTGATTATATGAAGATGATAATAATTGTGATTGCTGTTGTATTGACATTTGTGTGACAAACTGCATGATCATATATTAATGCCACCTAATAACACTTTTTCCCAATTTCAGCTTACTTAAATCATATACAAGGTAGAGATTTCTACTACAAACTAAATACTCTTCAAACATCATCTTAAGAGCATAAACCAATAAAGAATAACAAGAAAACTTAAGGCCTTATTCATCAATAGGTTCTGCCCATAATAGCAAATTTAACCATTCCATATTTAACAATTTTAATCTCATAATTATAACATAAACTTATTTTGCATAACACCGATTAGATCCTTAATATCCTCTTTAATTCCCTTACAAGAAAAATCCATAAACATCTCTTATTCTGTATAGCACTCAATCCAAGGACCGATATAACTCCCACACCAAACATACCATCATATCAAACATACCAAACATATCATCATATCAGATACATATCAAGGCATTTCATTTAAATATCATATTCGAAGATTTGCATCAAGTCAATTCTCATAAAGATCATATAACTTATTCTCATAACAGTATTCTCCTGAGATCATATATCTTATTCTTATAATAGTGTTAATAACTTAATTCCATCTTGATACTTAATCTCAAACACTGTCATGCATACATACATGCATACTTGCAAGGTCCACTCAAGAGAAAAATAATACCAAAGTTCCAAATCTCAATACGTAAAAGTATTTATACACAATCATAAGGTTAAAATACATAAAAGTAGTGATACACAATCACAAAGTTATGCAAATCATGCAATATGCCATATAGACTATCCCAACTTGACCATTTATCCATAATGATTTGGTAGTTTATGCAACTCATGCAATGTGCCATATGGACTATTCCAACTTAACCATTTATCCATAAATCTTCCATGACTTGTAAATACTTCTATTAACTATTAACCAATCTTTTGTATCTTTATAAACTCTTAATCATTTTAGTTTAGAATTTATTCGCATATAAGCATAGTGAGATCAACACGAACCACAATTTTTTTTTTTTATGGAAATTCTTATCTTGTATACTCTGATGTATCATTACTCCTATGTCCATCAAATTTGAATAATCAATGATTCCTAATTTGTTAAAAACTCTACATATTGACTATCATCTCTTTTAGATCATACTAATTCATATTCCTTCACATTTCTGTCATGGATTTTTTTTTTCTTAATATTCATAAATAACATTAACTTTACATAACCTTTTTAAATAAAAACATCAAAAGACTAAATTCATTGAATTATAATTCATACTTATATACCATATATAAACCATAAGATGCCTCAATCATACACCCACTACTAGGCACTAAAGATTAAAGCAATTTAGTTCCTACTTAAGAATCACAATTTACTTTCTTATAAACCTAGGAATTCATATTTATTCCCATATCTTCATACATGTAAAAATAGCTAATGGAATTACCAACATAATATTACTTTCCACCAAGTAGGTAATTATTTTCTCATAATTAGGGAATTCACTTCTCATAAATCTCGCTTTAAATAATTGAATTCATTCCACCAACATTATTCTTATGAAAACTACTCCATCACCCCATTATTATTTCAAAAGCACTCACCCATTATTATAGCAAATCACATCAAATCATTCATAACCTTATAATATCATTTATGTAACTACATCAATTAATATATATATTCTATCCAGAAAAATGCTTATCTCAATAGTCATAATAAATTCCATTAACCAAAATCACGTAACTTCATCAAATACATATACTAAATTCAATACTCTAATTAACTAGATTCTATTGTCCTTGAATCCGAATCATTTATTTTCTTATTAGATAATACTAGCAACTCATTCTTACATACTCCTTCCACAGGCACATTTACACACGTTCATGCATTTTATGTATGCATTTCATATTTAACAAGTATTCAATACAAATATCATACTTTCATCATTTAACTTCAACTTAATACTTATAATCTTTATCATGCATAACTTAACAGACCTTCTTAATATCTTCTTGCGCACACAACCATACAAGTACCCACTCATCTACACACTTAAATTATATATAAATCTATTGGCATGTTTTAATTCGTAAACCAAATATACTTCACAGTTCATGAAATCTATACAAATGAATTCATTTTTCATTTATAAAACAAAATTTTTTTTTTCTATATCCAAAGGATATCAATAGAAGGAAAAAAAATATCCTCATAGCAACATCATTATCATAAGCAACATAAAAAGCAATATGCTTCTTTATGGATCAAAATAAATAAAACAAAAATTTCACATCATTTATCCATAAGCAACATAAAAACAATATGCTTCTTATGGATTCAAAATAAATAAACAAAATTCATATGTTAAAAAGTCAAATCTCAAATATATTTATACCACTTAGAAATCATATCAACTCGAGAAAAAGAGCTCAAATCCTTAATGCCTCAATAATATCTCATCTCCAATAACCACTACATCGAATCCCTATCCATTATTCTCTAAGAATTTCCTCCAAGAATAATTCATTCAAATGGTCTAGAAGGATATAACCATTAATCATCAGTAGGAACCTCAATAACATAATCCATTTACCACAACACCATGCTCCAATGGCTGGTTGTTTCCAATTCAAACTAATATGGCATGTATTTAACTTAAATTACTCATACTCTCACCTCAAAATAGATAAATTCCTACACATATACAAATGTACAACAATGTTGTTTTGCCTAATTCCCAATTCATCAAGCAATCCTTGAAGCCAAATTGCCTCCTTAACAGTCTCTGTAACTGCCATGTACTCTGCCTGTGAGGGATCTAAGCCTACAGTGCACCTAGGCGAATCCCACATTGGTTACGCACGAGGAATCTGTTCCGTACATAAGAGGGGTGGTCTCTGAATGGCTCAAGGGACAAAGCCGTGAGGGTGACCTCATACGGAAGGGCCCAAAGCGGACAATACTAACCAGGGCGGAGCCATGACATTTGGTATCAGAGCCGTTGCCTCGTCCCTCTGGCCGGTGGTGGGGCAAACACTCAGCGAGGACGCGAAAAAGTCCCTACAGGGAGGTGACTGTGAGGATCTAAAGCCTACAGTGCACCAGCGCGAATCCACATCGGTTACGCACGAGGAATCTGTTCAGTACATAAGAGGGTGGTCTCTGAACTGGTTAGCGCGCTTTTGGAGTGCATGGATCTGTGCATGGATCTGTCTCCATGGCTCAAGGGACAAAGCCGTGAGGGTGACCTCGTACGGAAGGGCCCAAAGCGGACAATACTAACCAGGGCGGAGCCATGACAGGTTTTCTCTCTAAGAACTTTGAAATGAAAGATATGGGAGAGGCATCCTTTGTGATAAGGATAGAAATATTCCATGATAGATCACAAGTACTATTAGGATTGTCTCAAAGAGTTTACATTAATAAGGTATTAGAGAGATTCAGAATGGAAAAAATGCTCCGCAGGAATAATTTCAATTCAGAAAGGAGATAGGTTTAGCGAAATGCAATGTCCTAAGAATGATTTGGAACATAAAGAGATGGAGTCTATTCCATATGCGTCAGTAGTTGCTTAATGTATGTCCAAAACATGCTACTCGAACCGGATATTACTTCGCCGTAGGAAATGTTAGGAGGCAATATCAAAGTAATCCCGGGATGACCATTATAAAAAAAGGAAAGCTGCAAAGAAATACTTAGGTATTACAAGGCACTAAGGATTTCATATACTTCACTTATAGGGAAGTCCAGCCATCTTAGAAGTTGGTGGGATACTCATATTCAGACTATTGCCGTTTGTTGTAGATTCGAGAAAGTCTACATTTGGGCTTTGGCTACTTGTTTCTCCTAGCTGGAGGAGCAGTATCATGGAAAAGTGGAAATCAGTTTGTCATTGCTACTTCTACAATGGAGGCTGAATTTGTGGCATGCTTTGAGGTTACTGTTCATGCATTGTGGTTGCGGAACTTTATCTCAGGTCTAAGTATTGTCGACAGTATAGCTAGACCATTGAGAATTTACTATGATAATTCCACAGCTGTCTTCTTCTCTAAGAATGATAGGTACTCTAAGGGTGCAAAGTATATGGATTTAAAGTACCTATCTGTGAAAGAAGAAGTGCATAAACACAAAGTGTCAATTGAGCATATGGTACTGATCTGATGATAGCGGATCCGCTAACTAGCGGATCGACTAACTAAAGGCTTACAGCCTAGAATTTTCACTGGCCATGTTGCTAGGATGGCATTATAGATAAGTCTTTGTTAGCATGATGTTCAAACTTGTATATAATATACAGTATGGTTTATTTTTGCTCATATTAATTGTGACACTTGAGGAATTCAATTACATATATGTTTTTGCTTTATTTATGTATTATCCACATTTATAAGTGTAGACAATAATGGTTTCGGGTGAGATAACAATGACATTTGATTGTAAACTGATTGTAACAATGTATTGTTTATTGAATAGTTTCTCCATTGAAATTTTATGAATTGAGGTGGTCTGTGATATATGGAAGGAATCATGTCGATTAATGACTTGTGACTGTCATAATTCGATAATTTTAATTATAATTAAGGTAAACATGATAGACTTAAGAAATGCACATGGGCCAAGTGGGAGATTGTTAGATTATTTAGTAATCTATATGTGGCCCATGTAATTAAAGGGCTGGTTCTAATTAAGGTGGTCCAAGATAATGGTTATTGGGCTTAATGGATAAGGACCAGTTAGGGTTTTAGGATTTTAATTCCCTTCCTCTACCTTATAAAAGAAAAAGAAAATCAACAGCTTAGGTTAAGAAAAGAAAAAAAAGAGTGTGACGGCTACCTCAAACACATTCGGTGATAGGTTGTTTGAGAGAGCGTTAAAAGAAAACTTCCGTGCTGTTGATAATTCTTTGACTATTAAGAGAGCACTTACGGACAAAAGACCAGAGTGAAGAAACATAGATTTGCTATTATGGTGAGAATCGAATTGCCGCAACGAGGTAATCCATAACATAGATCTGATGTTATGGATCAAGGTACACTTCCGCTTATTGTGTATTCTTATTGAACAAATTCTATGAACTATAAGATCTAGGCTATATTAAATAAGATCTAGGCTATATTAAAGTTTATTCAACAGAGGATGTTATTCAATATAACAATATATGCATAGATGATGCTAAATTAATTTAACTTTTTATAAGGCTGCTTGCATGTACCTTAATATTTGTACTCATCAACTTTTGTTACCCAAAAAAAAAAAAATTATATTCATCTCCTTTTTGTTGGATTATAATTATTAATAGAGAATCTTTCTCCTTTTTTCAGATTAATTTCATTGGATTAACCTAAGCTATATGAGTAATCAAATAATCGGATACCAACTTCAATTTAACTTAAAAATATTTAATTTTATATTTTTATAACAGTAAAATTCCTTTTGCCGCAATCCAATTTTTCCATTTGCCGGATTGCCATGTATACAACACACAGACATTTTTCTTAATTAGAAAAAGAACTTCTCTCCTTTCTCTCTCTCCCAATTTCTTTTCAAAATCATCATCATGGCTCAAAAAAAAATGTATATAATAAATTTATCTACTGAAAACGTCATCGACGTCGCCACCATTGGTGGTGGCTGAAGGTCGCATCTCATCCAAAATTTGTAAGTTTTGTATCAAAATATTCAAAATCTTATGAGGTTTTATTTCCACCATCAATTTTATCATTTGATTATCAATTCAAGCTATACATAAAATTCCCAAATCTCAAACCCAAAAATTTCAAAATCTCAAGAATATTCGATCTATCCTTAAAACTCGAAATTGATAGAGGGGAAATAACATAAAAGAAGGATAAAATCATTTAAATACTTGTCTTGATCGTCGCTTTCATCGAAGATGGAGCAAATCTCTTTGGAATGCGACTATTTTTGTGACCGTTTGAGATGGTTACTTTAGTCCGCGATAATCAAGGTCATATTACTGTTGCTTGCATTGAGTTGGCCCTATTAGTGTGCTCATCGACAAAGGTGGAGGTCTTTGGCCGAAAATAGCTTGAGCTCACCAGTTTTCATGGCTGCCTAAACCGTAGTAGAGCAAAATCACCATAACTAGTGATGCGGGCTCTATGGATGCCGAAGAGAGAGAGAGAGAGAGAGAGGCCGGCACTCCAAAAAAAAAGCCATTTTGCGACCGACCAATCGGTCGCAAAATGGCAAATATCGGTCGCTAATTTGCTGTAGCGACCGATTTGCTACCGACGATTGTCGCTCGCAAAAATACTGGTCGCAAACTAATTTTGCGATCGATAAGACAATCGGTAGCAAAATTGAATAATCGGTCGCAATTTTTGGTCGTGGTTTAATTGGAAATTCAGTCGCAAATTTGGTCGCAGAATATCGGTCGCAAATTGGTCGCAAATTATAAATTCATAATTTTTACTTTTGGTATCAAATCGGTCGCAAATCGGTCGTAAAAATGGAAAAACAAATAAAAAAAATTAAATATTATTTTGAAACCAAAATTTTTCTGCACCTGTGAAAGTTGACATAAATGCATATATATCACACAACATATTCAAGAACAGTATAAAAATGTAACTTTTATTGTTCTGAACAAATTAAAATATGAAAATACAACGCAATTCAAAAACAATATAAAAATGTAATTGTTATTATACTGAACAGAATGTCAAAAAACAACAGGAAAACTAAAAAGATCCAAAATCAAATCTATGCGGTTGCTTATCTGCACAATCCAATGTTGAATCGCCAAGAGGAGTACCTGCTGGATGTGCTGTAGTGCCAGGAGGGGTGACTAAGGTATCGTCTGCAGCATCGGGATCATGAGACGGTAGTGGCTGCTGCTGAGATGTCGAAACCACTTGCTACTGGTTCTAGTGTGAGGCAGTCTAGGCGGCAGGGTATCCAGAGGAGAAATACCAGGCATTGGTCGCTCACCGGACAGCCGCATCACATGCGCTCTAAGCTCTGCAATCTGTCTCTGACTGATCAGCTAAAGCTGAGCTCGTATATCATCATTCACAGTTGCGAGGTCACGTGGTGCCTCCGGGCTGTCTGTCGACTGCGCTGGCTGTAGAAGCGTGAGCTGCTGAAGCCAGTGTAAAACTGTGATGCCTGAGACCCGATGCCATATACCTTCCTCTTCTTCTCGCCCCTACCAGCCTTGAGATTAAAGCCCTGAAGCCTCGTCATAGTGTCTTGGACTCAGCTTCGGATTCATCGGTCTGAGAAAGTAAACAATACGACTCCGAGCTGTTAGTGATAGTTTCTCCTGAAAAACAAAAAAATTAATTTAATCAATGCAAAATTGCAAAGGCTTTATTTTATTTCTCCAACTTTGTACTATCTTCGCAATTGATTAGAGGTGTAAATTGTATAATATTATCATTGTATACTTACATTGACGCTCAAGCGCACGTCTGTCGACAAAGGTATTACGATCGGTCCTTCGTGTGATGTGTATGTAAAACACCTCCATCGGTGTATCGGTGTGGGCTCACGACCTAATTCTTTAGCCTGTAATGAATTTTTATGCATGATATATTAATATATATATTGTCCTTTCATTAAACATCAGTTTCTTGCAAAGGGACTAGTTCACTTACTAATAATCGAGCTGTCTCTATAGCAGATATAGATCCGCCTGTGTGTCGCGAAGGTCCTGCTCCATCCCCGCCAGTCTCACTGCGCCTGTTTTGTGCAAACATCTCCCGCTTTCTCTTGAATGCAGGATCCTCCCAAGCCTTTTGCCAGCTCTCCCATATCTCCTGAGACACGCACCGTTGTTTCTTACCGCTTCTTCTCATCCTATAGGTGAAGTCAGCGTATCGATCGGCGCATATCTTCTCCCAGGCTACTTTCAGCATAGCCGTAATGCCGTAATGGCCTCGTCCCATATGAAATGTTTCTGCTAAAAAATGAAATATAGCGTTTAAATACTAAGGATGTATCTTGAATTGTAAACATTGAATGATGATATAACTTAAACCAAAGAGTACCTGGAATTCCTCCCAATAAAAGTCTCTCACCTCTTGCGGTACGGCATCCCATGTGCATCCTTCTTTATGCAGCTGTAGCTTGATTATCTTCAAAATTTGCCTCGCTGCTCAAGAAGGTGGATATATGCTGAAAAAAAAACAGAAGTGAAATATAATTACACGAAAGCATCACAGTTACGAATAAGTACAAAATATAATTACAAAATATGCCTGCAGAAAATTTGAATAAGTACTTACTGTCCCGCTACCAAATTGAGGGTGATACTACGTGGATCTGATGAAGCTGCAAAAGAAACATGACAAAATTTATAAATTTTCTAGATAATTAATATATAATTAAAATGACAGTTAGACATTTATGATTACCTTGCACAGTAGGTGATTGTGCAGCTGGTGGAGTTTGTACTGGTCCAGAAGAGGAAGAGCAGAAGAGGAAGGAGCAGAAGGGCTTGTGATGGCGGCAAGTACTGGACGCTGAGCAAAGAGGAGAAGCCCAGAACTACCTGAAGAAGGATGTGATTGGCGGCAGTACTGGCTTCGCTAAGCAGATGACGAAGGCCCCAACGTTACCTGACGAAGGACGAGGGATCGACCCTCCTCGTCCATGGCACTGCGGCTCCAGGGCCATGACCCCTCCACGCGAAACCACTGCCGTGACCGCACAGAATCAAAACGGTCTGCCTCTAGCCATCGTGTACTGCAGAATATCATAACCTAGATAAAATGAATTTATACAATTATATGAATTGTAGAACAGTGTGGTTAAATATGAGTAAAGAAAGTTAATACCACCCTTGAAATTCTTTCATTATAATATTAATTACATATACATTTATCCAAATTCTGTAACAGTAAAAATTTGCTCTAACTTTAATGTCTTGATATCATCTGCTGCTTCCTCCTCCTCTTCATCAGCTTCCTCTTCTTCATATTCGTCTTCTGAGGTACCCATGATGATTTGATCTTCTTCCTCTTCATCATTTGATGGTCCTATTTCAACATAAGATCGGCTTTCATCATCTAATCTATCTGTTAAATCTTCAACAACTTGCATCGGTTGCGTTTCAACCTTAACTTCTTGAAATGCCTCCGATACTGCGAGTGAAGAAGATTGTTTCGTTTCAAGTGCATGAACAACTGATCTAGCCTTGATTTTGCACACTACCATCCAATCGCATCTATCTCGTTTAAACGATGGATAATGGATTAAGTGGGATCATAGTACACCTGTGCAGCTTGCATTGCCAAAAACAAAAAAGGTTCATACTTGTATATCTTCTTCTTTGATTTAATATCAACCAGGATTATACTTAGGATGAACCTTCGTGCCAATGTTTGGCGTAGGATCAAACCATCAACATTTGAATAGATTGTGCACTTTCATTGGTAGCCTGGATATTCTAACTCCAAAAACCTCAACCAATTTCCTATAAAAATCGTTGGACACGTCACTGTAGTTGATCCCTTTATGCACACCACCGCTGTCATTGTCTTTCTGCTTCTGTCCCAAACCCTCAGTGTGAAAGCTTGTAACCGTTTTAACAAAAAGTAGCCAAAGTTAGGCATTAGCATCCGTAATGGCCCCTTTGCCAGCCAGATCCGTAATAAATCTGTTACGAATATCGCTTTCTGAGCTTCGAGCCTATGGGAAATAGTAATGACATGAGTCAGATTTAATAAATGTACATTCCGCGTTGTGTACATTGAAAGTAACTTACATAATATTTGAACCATTTGATCTGCAAATTCCGTGTCCAGCTTTGCATCAACTGCAATATCAGTCAAATTGAGATTTTGAAGCTGCAGAAGATTGATATATTTCCTATTTATCAACGAACCATATTAGCATAAGTACGATTTAACAACGGCCCACGTCAAGTTTAGAATGTTTACATGTTTACATTATTTATACTTACTGTACATACGGTGTGATCTCTTCGCAATTCAATAAAATATAGGTTTGAGCCGCTTGTATCTCTGCATCAGTCAATCGTCTTTTTTTTTATTTACCAATCGTACGCCCCCCAGGGTAGGTGAAAATTTTTTAGATTTCCTTCAAAAACTCAATTGAACGCAATCTCGATTATTGAAATTTCTGATTGGTCGAAACATGAAATGTTTCAACCATATTCCATAAAAATTAAGTTGCAGCAATCAAAACTGCAGGAAACACATCAATTTTCTTGTTTTGGATTATAGGCCCAGAGGAACAATAACACACAAAAACGATTATGATTCATCTTTCATACACATTGACGGGTGGTAGATTATATTAGATTATACGGTGTCACAATGACAGGCCATGATGAATATTGCTGTCCTGATTGGCCAAACGGCTGAAACCCATCAGTACAAAGCCCCAATCTCCCGTTTCTCATATCAGCAGCAAACACAGGATGAATGTTATCAAAATGTTTCCACGCTTTAGAGTCTGACGGATGAGTCATGATACCATCCTCATATTCATGCAAAGCATGCCATGCATGTGTTCAGCTGTCGCCTTAGATGCATATAACCTTTGAAGGCGAGGAATAAGATGGAAATAATACATCTTCTTGAAAGCCTTCTCTTTTTGTTCTTTTTTGTTCTTACCAGTCCCTTGAACCCCGCCGTATATATCTTGGCAGGATTACAAAAACTTGCACATTCATCTGAATTCCGAAGTCAACACCTAGAATATCATTACAATATTTAACGGACAGCAATCAATCTTTTCTACCAGGTAGTCCCAACCCCCAACTAATTTTTTTGTCCGATAAAAATTATCAACCATTGAGATGGCCTTCAGGCAACATTTCTTTTGCTAACTGCACAAAAATCATCGAACACCTTTTTCTGAAAGGTGCTCCGCTTTCATGTGGTAGTAATCGCTGCAACAACAGACCAGAACTGAATGATTCTTGCATCCAGGCCACAATTCACTTGTTTAGCTGGCACTTAGCCATGTCAAAACAATTGTGTGCTGCTACGTTTTGGCGATTTTCCTCCATATTATTCCCATTCACATTGTCACATTGTACTCTACTCGCATCGATTACCATATCATTGCATTGATTACCATACAGAAATTGATAAGGCTGAACTTCTAAACTTATCGGAATGGAGTGACCTGACCCACTTGCAACTCGAGCTTCACCATGATGTATCCATTCGTAATAATTTTCCACGAACCCATGTTTGCACAAATGAAGTTTCACTGTATCGATGTCTAATAAGGCTTGATTTCGACACTTCTTGTGATTACATGGACACCTCAACTTATTACCATCCATAAAACTGGGATTACCAACTGCAAACTGTATAAACGCCTCAAACGCCTCCAATCCTTGCAGGAACTCTTGTCTTAATATCCCATTGACCTCGAACCTCCAGTACATCCAATCTTGATTATTTTGCATTTTTTTTTACCTAATTAACAATGTGTTTATAAAGGGCCGTGTCATGTAATTACATTAGTCTAAACCATCCTTAAAACATGCGCCTAATGTAATGTTCAATTTACAACACTTACAAGTAACTAAGGTTATTTCTATAATAAGGGTAACTATATATAAATGTATAATCACTAAGTTCATTTATTGAATACAAAGACTACTGTAATAAAGGTAAGTGTACTATTCTACATATTGAATTTTTGGAAAAAAAATTCGGCAGCATTTCGGGCAGCATTTCGGCACAACACAATCAAATCTCAAATATAAAAACAAATCAATAAACACTTCTATATCATACCAACATTCTCCAAAGGCAATATGGCCACTACTAGGCCTCCAATCCAAACTCATCATTTATTTAAGTCAAAAATATATTTAAGAAAAATAACGACAATAATATAAAATAAAGAAAAAAACACAGCCAAAACTTCTCAAAGAAAGATGCAGGTTGCCAATAATTAAGAACAATTTGTAACAACCTAAACACCACAAAAAATTTATTATATACATTCCAATTATTCTTCAAAAAAAAAAAAAATTGGAGAAAAATTGGAGCAATTAGTTTTTGTACTTGTTATTATTTTTGTTCAGTACTTTCACAGAGTTAGTTTTTATGCATCAACTACGTATACGCTGATCTGAAGATATTTACAATTAGTTTTTGTAGTTTGGACTATATATTGAAAACTGAAAACTCTTAAGTACACATCGCATTTGCATATTTCTTTTATATTTCTTTTTCGATTCACTTGAATAAAATGTAAAATATTATATAATAAAAAGAAAATTGCTTTCATTTTCAATCCCATAATATTTATAATCTGTATATTTGAAATGACACTTGCTTTCTTTGAAACTTTCAAGTGGTTGCAGACTTTGAATGGTCTACTAAAGTAAGCCTCATTCAAAGTTTTTGATTAAATTTTTTTTAATTAAATTTAATTATTTCGGTTCAAATTTGAAACTTTTTGATGAATTTAGTGAAAGGATTTTATAAGTTAAAAAAAATAGATCACTTATTAGATTTAGAGAAATTTTGATGGATAAAAATGAGGTTATTTTTTAACATTCAACAATTTTTTTAGTAAATTAAATGTTAGAATAATGAAAAAACTACTAAATGTTAATTTCACATCTTTCATTAAACGAGTCCTAACAAAAAATATATATAATAAATCAAACACAATATATTTAGAACCTTTAAAAATATTGTTTCTCTCCAATAACAAATGTAAAAATCACTACTATTATATCTTACAATAGCTTTTATTAATTTTATATGTATTGATTACTAGATTTTATATTAATAAAATAGAACTTTAAAGCAAAAAGAAAATGCAATTTTTAATGAATAAAATGTTTTTTTAGAAAAGATAAATAAAAATAGAGATTGAATAAGCAAAAAAATTTAGCGTTCTCACTAATCACATTCAATTTTGTTGCTAAATTTCATTATCATCCATCGGTAAAAATTGCAGAAATTAATGTAATTTGAAAATTAAAATTTTTATCGTTCGATATCACTCGAATGTATCTCCAAATATCGTTCTTCCTAAATATTAATGGCGCGTTCGGCGCGTTCTATTTTATTCGATTCATTTTAGTCAAGTTTGTATGA